TCCGTGTTTACGTACCGCCGTGCACCGGAAATGGCGTGCACGTGCAACCGTGTTTTCAGAGGAATCCCGTTCGGCTGGCGAACGATCGACTAATAATAGACGTGATAATATTTGCCAGCTCGTACACCGGAGCTGTTTCCGCGCCGCTACCGGGGCGATCGGCCGAGTTTGAGGATTATTTTCGGAGCAACCCCGATTGCCACTCGATCGGCAGTTCGACTCGACATTAGTCTGAGGCGAGAGTAGATAGAAGACGAAACGATTCACGTGTGGTACATTGATTTCGTAAGCTTATGATTTTCTACAATACAACAATACCTACTGTATTGTTGTGTGAAGTAAAATCAACGTTTACAATATTGTCAATGTTTCTATGCTTATTTCATAATTGAGGGACTCGTAACGAAAACGAACCCTGGCGAAGATTCCGGTTCTTGTGATAACTACAAATTCTAGTAGTCGAGTTCTAGTAGTGGAACCTGTACTATCAAAAACGACATATGTCCTGGTTTATTCAAAAAAAAATTGATCGATTCTTAACCCTTTACCTAGTTGTTGCAACAATGCAACACTCGTTTTAAAAATGCGTCAATTTCTGTCACTGGTTTAACTTTTTTCAGCAAGGATCCGTAGTTTCATTGGTGTGAAGTAGATCTCCACGTTTTCTGTTGAGAAATTCAAGTGTTACCTCTAAAAGTAAATAAACAAAAAAATGAAAATAATAGGTCTGTTTAATAACGATATTTTCGATTTCAAAATAACAAGATATAACATATATATCATTCTCATAATTTTGAAATAATGATTTAAGGGCCTGGGTGATAAAGGGTTAAGATTCTTAAATATTCCAGATAGTGCTTTTTTACTTTCCTTGAAAAGAAAAACAAAAATTGACAAGGGTCGTTCTTGTTACGACCCCCCTCAATTATTCTTTATTCTGTAGTGTTATATGCCTCGATTTAAACACAAATATAATAATCTCGATATGAAATCATAGATCTTCACAAATGTGCAATAATCTTTGTCGCGTCAGTTTGGCAAACTAAATTTCACAATTTCCACTAATGAAAAAAATTACAATATAGATATAAATACAATATAATGATGTCAAACAGATATATAACATGCGCCAATTAGTACAAATTAGTATAATTACCGAAGAAAATATTCTTCCGCGAAAACTCCCGAAAGGAATCGTGTCTACCAAGAAGCCTGTTATTATCCTAATTAAAGTTGACATAAAAAAACAACACTCATTTTCCCGAGACTTCCGTGTGTTTTCTGAAACTGAACAGAATGGAAAAGAATTCTTGCGTACGGTTCGTGATCGTGGCCAGTAAATTACGGTGCACTATCAAACGATCGTATTTATTTCTAGGTTTAATTATAGATATACGATTATTCTCAAATCATTGTACGTGTGTGTGCTTTTTAAGAGATCAATTCGGCGGATCGCTAATGAATTATTCAAAGTTCTCTCGGTTCTCCGTCGATCACCCAGCCGCTTTATGAGAATCCATCGTCACTTCGGTATTCATACGATTATGTTTGTAAAGGAATGCATAAAACTTAGCCACCTTACCAAACGATTTCTCAAAAATATTATTCTACCAAAGATAAAAGTATTTTTTAAAATGTGTAATCAAATATTTTTGTTACTCTTAAAAGAAAATTCAGATCCGAAAGGGTTAATTATATTCCAAGACTCTCTGGTAACACTGAAAGCATTCGACGCGACGAGGAAAACGTATATCCACGCGTTACGCGAAACATCGCGACTATTAATTACCGTCAACGTTAATTAATTCAGGATCCGTGTCTCGTTCGTCGTTATCGCGTCAACGACGAACGAAGACCGTCGAACGAACGTGTGCCAGGGGAGAAAAAACATGAGGTGGAAGAGAGAGAAAGAGAAAAAGAGAAAAGAAAAGATCGCGACTCAACGGCGTGAAAGATGGACACGGTCTAACCGCTTCGCTGCTCTCGACGTTCTCTTTTTCATTCCCTTGACGAGTGTTCCTTCGTTTCTTCTTTTTTCTTTCTCTCCTTCAGCCTCTTTGTTACCAATTCGAGTTAATTAGCGACGCTCGTATAACGAACGTGATTCGATATTCTGATTTGTAATCCCCTTGAGCCCTTGCTACGGCTCCGTCGATGTAAATCTCTGTGGGCGCGATCGATAAACCCAAGCTCGGGGGAGGGAGGGGGTACCATCGACCACTGGCAAGGGCGGCGCTTTACGGCCGTAGCAGGGGTGAAGGAACTCTGGATCTTAACCGCCGATGGGCCAAGTTTTCTGCACGACCCTGTCTGCGATACCTAGATGTAGGAAGTGGTTCCCCGGGTAGGCACGAACTTGTAGAACAATTTAATTGCACGTGTTCAAACAACAGACTTTTGTTCGTTCGTTTTTTTTTTTCGCTTCCATTTCCTAACAAGAAGTGGTCGTACCCGCATTCCAGGTGAAATCGTCGGGACCAGCGACACGATTTTACCCTTCAATTTTGGGTAATCAAACAATTAACTTCTTTCGATAAATGGAACGTGGGGTTGAAGAAATGAAATTGAAATCGGCTAGAATCTCTATTGGTTTCGATCATAGATCATTTGCGTCTCACTTTTTTTATCGTTGCGGACCCAGTTCCTGATCAGACATTCCTGATCAGGTTAGTATATTTATGGATACCGTGTAATAAATTGATTATGATAAAAGATTTTTCCAAAATATTACTAAGTGATTATTAACTGGTTTGAAATTTATACTGAGTGAGATATTGATGTATGATTTAGTTGATCAGAAATTGCTCCCTTTGCATTTCTTACTGTAACACGTAAATTGTAATTGAATTATTATTATTTTTGCACTTTTGTTAATACCAGAGTATAGATGAAATATAGATTTACTCGAATAACAATAATTCCTTTGGATTTAGTTAACTTTTCGCGAGTTTTAGTTTTAGTCATAAAGGAACGTACTGAAGCAACAGTCACGGATTGTAATGCAACTCTGTGAGGAAGTAGTTCCCATAAAAATATTTAACACGTATTTTTTTTAGCTGCTGTCATCCATATTCAAGGGGTGAAAACAGCCCTCAAAGTTGGGGCTGTGAAATACATTTTGTCGAATATCTCGGAAATTATTAACAATCATGAATTATTCTGGAATCTAATAATACAGAAGGCTAGGTTCCTTATAAAAACAAATGCAATATTGTCATTTAAACCGCTTTCGTACCCTTAATTACGCACTTTCCAATACTTCCCTTCGAAGAAAAGAATGTACACATTACTCTTCTTCCGTGATATATTTCATTATAAACAATTTCATGCTCTCACAAACTCACCCGATCAAACCCCATAACGACATAACAGTTCCATTCGAAATGCAACTAAAGTAAACAGTGTCTACAAAACCCCGTGTGAAAATTTATTCCACATCGAATCTGAGGTTCGTAATCACCCAGATCTAATCACTTTAAACTGCATTCCATTAAAGTTTACACGGAGCAATCAATTCTCGGTTAGGGGAAGCAAGTGGTCCCCTATCCCAGACCTGGATTACCAGGATGTCTACGTGTGCTGGAAGGCGGTAACAATGAATAACTGCGCGGGTAATATAACCGTCGCAAGATATTCGTCGACATCGCGCGACTTAGGTTTAATAAAGCGACCTAACGGTTGGTAACAATGATATTAGGGGTTAAATCGTCGTTTATTCCTGCCATCTGGAAAATTGATAACGGAATAACCTCGACCAGGGCAATTTCATTCGGGGAAAAATTGCTCTCGAAGCGCACGATTATTAGGATGATTTTCATGAAGCAGCATTATTTTAAGGATTCATAACTGGCCCAGAACGGGCAGTTCCGGCGGGCAATTCTTTTCGGCGTGCGCGCCCCCCCCCCCCCCCCCCCCCCCGACTCATCACGGAAGTGATTCATTTTAATTGAGAATGATCGCTCGATTTCGTGTCGCCTCCCTACCCTCTCGCCATAGCTCGTAATTCGATTTTCCGAAACGTCATTCTCCGCTCACATACACGTGGTATACCGTGTGTCCTTTGTGTATACGAAGTTGAATCGAATACCGAAAGCGATTTATCGCTGGTTCCGCCCGGCATAAATAGTTCTTGCGCGTCGTGCATCCTTCAAGATAGAGATCTGGGCTCGGCGTTGCTCGTACCGCGAATATGATTTCGTGACATTGGGAAATTGCACGGTTCATAAAACACACCTGTAATCTCTGCCCGTGATAACGAGGGCGATTCGATTGCAGGCTGTGATCAATTTTTTTGGTGGGAGGGGAGGCTCTACGCGCGGATTGACAGAAGTTTCTCGTAACCGGATACGACATATTACAACTTTTTTCTTTAATTTTTCTATTCGATATTAACAGTACGTTTGTGTGGATATTGTTCTGTAGAAGCTTGAATTTTTTTAATCGGTGTGGGATATTGGGGTGTTACCAGTTGTATTAACCTTCCCTCTGTGTAGATGGGTGCAAGCACACCCTAGGCTAATAAAAACGTAAATTAAAAGTTCCCAAATGGAAAATTTCCAAAGTTTTCTTGGGAAGAACATCTGTGATATGTTCCACGGTGAATTTGAAAAAAAATTTCTATCTTCTTAAAAATCAATAAATTTCCATAAACCCTTGGAGGCAATGTTTTTTAATCACACCCCTTAACACGTTAATATAATTTTACACAGAGGGAAGGTTAAACCTCAGAAACTAAACCCCACCTCAGCATACGTAAACGCTACGCTAGCGTGATTTGGGATTTTGAATTTTTGATGATTGAAGACTTAAAGAGAATAAAAGCAAATTAGACTCATAACATATTTTTTGAGGATTGAAATTGATTTCTCCCCCTACTTTAGAAACACCTTGTATCAAACGAATCTAAAGTGCACCCTTGGAAAATCTTCACGAAACAATTTTAGGCAGTGAAAGAAAAAAAAAAAAGTCAAAATAATAAAATACTGAAATTTCCCACTCACGCTGGCTCCCCATTTTGCTCCAGGTGCACCACGTTCCCGCTCAAGGTCTCGATCTCTTGGGGTCGTTTCACCACGTGCATACCGGTTTTCTCCCTCGGCGAGGACACACCCCTGACGGTGTCCACGCTCACCCCGGTGTCCGTGGATCGTACGCTCTCGATCGACTCGACCGACATACCCGCGGACGATTTCTGAGACGTTCCACTACCATGATTCACTGGTCGCGGTTTCACACCGGCGCTGTTCACATTTTTCGATCCGTTCACTGCACCAACCATTCCTGACACGTTGTTCGTCCTCGTGCCGGTCGATTGATCGGGAACCACATTCGCCGTACCCGTGTTCCCTGAAACTTTCGTTTCTGGCTCGTTACTCGTCTTCGAAACGATTCTCGGCTCCTCTTGCTTCGACGTAGCACTCGCGACAGTGGTAGCTTGTCTCTCTGGATCAGAACCTGTAGGATTTTTCGTGGGGTCGATAACCACTTCATTCGATTTCATCGAGTTCGTCGCAGGTTGCGACGAAACCGATTCCTCGATCTTCTGATCACCCGATCTCGAATTCTTGATAGGTTGCTCGTTCGTGGAGTTCTGGATCTTGTTCGATCGCTGCGTCGCCGAACCGTTATTACTCGTCGCACCACCATTCACTTTACCTATGTTCTTCGCCGATTGTCCCAAACTATTGTTTTTCGAATGGCCGCCAATTTTTTCCGTAGGAACCGGTGATTCGTTTCTACTCTGTGGTCCAGGTTTCGTTCGATTGATACCAGGCTTGCCAGGCCTCGAGATCTGAGGATTCGACGAACATTGATCATCGGTAGCTTGCGAATTTTGCGGCTGTCTCGTTACCAGATCATCGTTCGACGAGTTGGAAGATTTACTGTGATGAGGATCCGACTGATTTCTTTTCTCAGGGAGATTCTTCTTTTCGGGTGCATCCTTGTCCGACAGATACCGCTGTAGTGGCGGTCGTGTTCACCACGCTGGACGTGCCAGTGGCACCGGAAGATTGTTTCAGAAGATCTATCAGATGAAGATCGCGTTTGTTCTTATCGCTCGACTCTTTGGAGTCTTCAGACTGTTTACCGCTTTGAGTAGACTCGTTCCCTTGATTGCTCCCATGACGAACGTCCTTGGACCCTTTGTCGCCGGTTTTTTTACCTCTATCGTTCGGTTGATTCGAGATGTTGATGAATCTGGATGGGTTCAAGGGATTCGTGCCGATTCTGTTCGTCTTCAAGGGGATCTTCGATGGAGATGTTACGCGTTCTTTGCTCGGGGTCTTGCCAGACACGGAAGTCCTCTCCTGATTCGGTCTCCTCGAGTTCGAAACGTTCTTGGACGGCGATCCAGTTACTTTCCGCGGCTTCGATGGTGATGGTCTACTCACTTCCTTGAAACGATCCCTATGAACGAACTGCGGCGTTTTTTCAGGCTTCGTCGGGGTTCCCTGAATAGGCGATAGTTTGCTAGGTGTCTTGACCGTCTGGCGACGAGAGGAGAGATTCGTGGTGCTGTTGCTGTTCCCGTAGGCGTTCAGACGGTTCCTCGAGTCGTTCAGGTTGAAACGGGCCCGTGAATCAACGCGGCGGCCGGCGGGCTTCGGTGAAGCGGCGAGGCACTCGGTCGATTTGCTGAGGGACGTTGAACGTTGTCGGGCGGGCTGCGGTATCAGGCTTCTCCTTGGACTGCTCTGCTGTGACACTGAAACTGTGAATCACCGTAGCGCAAATGTAATTACTCTACTCTGGGGACTCGTGCAAATTGGTACAGAGAACAGACGTTTAGTTATACGTCAATGATATTGTAACTCTACATTGTTCAACTCTGATCCTCTACAATTCACTTTACAAAGTTTAAATTAGTTCCAGAGTTATTGTACTTTAGATTAATTTTACAAAGACTGCAAAAGCAACCTCTTCCACGTCTTTGTACTTATATTACAAACTTTGATTCAACACTTTCGTAATGAAGATTACTATTATTATCACCTCGCCGATTATCGCGACCCCTCTACATAGACATTTAGTTACACGTCCACGACACTGACACTCTACATAGTTTAACTCTGATCCTCTACAATTCACTTTACGAAGTTTAAACTAGTTCCAGAGTGAAGTTATTGTACCGTAGATTAATTCTACAAAGACTGCAAAGTACCCCCTTTTCCACGTCTTTGAACTCATATTACGAACTTTGATTCGACTTTTACGTCTTTGTACTCATATTACGAACCTTGATTCGACTTTTACGTCTTTGTACTCATATTACGAACCTTGATTCGACTTTTACGTCTTTATACTCGTATTACGAACTTTGATTCGACTTTTACGTCTTTGTACTCATATTACGAACTTTGATTCGACTTTTACGTCTTTATACTCATTATACGAACTTTAATTCGATTTTTACGTCTTTGTACTCATATTACGAACTTTGATTCGACTTTTACGTCTTTGTACTCATATTATGAACTTTGATTCGATTTTTACGTCTTTGTACTCATATTACGAACTTTGATTCGACTTTTACGTCTTTGTACTTATATTACAAACTTTGATTCGACACTTTCGTAATGAAGATTATCATTATTTTCACCTCGACGATTATCGCGACCCCTCCACAGAACATAGACATTTAGTTACATGAACACGATACTGACACTCTACATAGTTTAACTTTGATCCTCTACAATTCACTTTACAAAGTTTAGATTAGTTCCAGAGTGAAGTTATCGTACTTTAGATTAATTCTACAAAGACTGCAAAAGCACCCCTTTCCACGTCTTTGTACTCATATTACGAACTTTGATTCGACACTTTACGTAATCAAAACTGTCATTATTATCACCTCTACGATCTCCACGACCTCTCCGTCGAGCGTCCGCGTGTTCCGGTGATTGAGGCCTCGACCTCGATCGTGGTGGTGGTCCCTTGAACCCACGTCCTCGAAACGGCGAGACTCTACCCGTGGCCAATGTCGGCGATGGGCTCCTCGCCTCGGGCGAAGTTGGCCTCGAGTCTGCGATTATCACGAAGCTGGACCGTCTATGCGCCCTGGATGACGACGTCGTGGACGGCGCGATCTTGTACGGCTCTGGTGCACGCGGCGGTGGCGGCGGTATCGTCGCGGGCGACAGGTAGTTCCCATCGGGCGACGCGAGCACCCTGAACGGAGGTGGTCGTTGAGCATGGCCGTTGTCGATCCGCCTCATCCTTTCGAGGCCCCGAAGCTGTAACGTGAACGGACACTGTAGTAGACCGGACGATGGATCTCGACCGTTCGTCATCGCTGTCGTGAACGTGAATCGCGTTAGGACTTCGTTGAACCATCCTGGTCGCTTCTAATCTTCCCTTCAACACCCCCACTTTCACTATGAGCATCGTCGTTTTAAGGAAATAGAGGGGGTATTTCTTATGTTCGGTGTCATTTTGTGAATCACGTTCGATGTTACGATAGAGAAGAATATTTAGAATGGAATTAACTGTGAGATAATATCATATTAGGTGGACCAGTGAACGATCGTGCTATTTTCTTGAAGAGTTTTGCCACTATGAAGCTCTGAAAAATTGTCATTTTTGGGGAATTTTGAAGCGAATACATGAAGATGAATTTATACGCTTATTGAGTGTATAAAAATAATTTTTTCTTAACTTTATAATGTTTTTTTTATAGATATATATCGCACTGAAGTAAGGACCTTGAAACAATTATGTACTGCTGGCGTAGATGATTCCGGGAGAATGAAGCATCGGAATCAAAATATTCAAACTAATTTTTAATCAGATTTAATCAGGTTTAGAGGGGTGATGGTCTGAAGACCGTAGATGTTCTAGTATGTCGCGTGAGTGCATTGAAATTTATCAGCGAAGTAATACAAGAATATCTTATCGTTTTCTTTAGAATAGTAATTACTGTTGACCGATACAGAAATTTCATTCATGATGTGTCATGAATTCAAATGTCAAATAATACAGTCAACATGAACGGAAACTCTGCGGTGAACGTGTTAATGTGCTTGGTAATAAGACTTTATTACGTGGATGACTCACAAAAATGTACTAAAAGGGGAAATTAAAGGGCAATAATAACGTAACAGATGGTAAAGAAAAGCTACAAGATCAATAGAAAGTTGTAAAGAAAACAGAAAGAATTATAAAAACAAATGTGATTATAATTTAGAATATAACCGAAAGAATAAAATAAATATTTAGTAAATTCAAAACATAAAAGCAAACGAATTATCAAACATTGGTTTCGTTTGGACCATTTTCTATACAGACTGAATATCTCCGTCTGTACAGTCACCACTTATTTAAGTATGATTCACTTGAAACTACCCCAGCGCTCGCGTATTGACTCACAGTTTTATGGTTCCATCGAACACCGTAATATTTAAACGTGATATCCCATTATCGTTCAGTTTCGTTGACGCAGTCAAACCTCTTGGACACATAATACTACGATAAACCGTCTCACAATTGCCGCACAGTTCCAAAGCATTCGAATAATCCGCAATTTTTGGTCAAGCACAAAATTGACATATAACAAAACGGAAAACCTCCAGTACCTCAATGAACATGTCCAAGAAGAAATATTCTGAATTTAATCATCAACTTATTAAAAAAAAAAACAAGAAATAACCTGTTACTAATTGGTACAGATTGAAAAAAACTATTACAAAGATGTGGTACCTCGAGTCCTTCATGCAGACCACCAGAACGCGGAGGACGCCGAGATCCGTTGTCGCTCTCACCTGGAAAACACAGAAATCTCGACTGAGACCAACATTCAGTTCCAATCTGGGCCTACACGGTAGAAAACTCCGGTTCGTTAAAATCTCATGCACGCGACCAACAAAACGAAATCCACGAAGTATCTGCAAGCATCATCGCATCCAAAACAATCATACACCACAATCTACATTAAAAAAACAGTTTCAAATGTCGCAATTATTCCCCTAGTACTCCCAGAGGTCCACTATACTATTCATTAAGTACAATGAACGCGATAACCAAATTTGATTGTTCCTCGGAGATTAACTCTTAATCTTTAACGCGTTCGTCCCACCACCCCACACGATTTCGAGAGCAAAAGCCCGGTTTCGTTCGCCGGAAATCCACAGAACAAAGCCTTCCTGAATGTTCACCGGCCGTCTAATCCGAAGCGGTGCTCATTGTTGTTCCTTCTTTCCTTTCCTATCCGCTCGAAGATCAACGCACAGATTCGCCCGCTAGGCCAGGCAATTAGCAACACCGCAACGTCGTAATTATTCGTCGACTGTTTGCAATTACTCACTCTAGTTTCTGCGGGTTTCGTCGAGGCGGACAGCAGCCTCGGGTATATACGGATTTTATTCACGCTCTCATAGGCGAGAATGCTCGGACCGACTCGCGGCGGACGGACTCGCGCCATGCTTATCACCGCGGCACCGTGACGCTGGTGAACTACATTTTCTACGTTCCTCTGCCGTGATTCTAGTCTTTTTCTTTCTCTTCTCTGTGCTCATCGATGCTCGAAACGGGCCGTGAAACGGGAAGTGTCGATCGATAACCAGAAATCGCTAGTCTTGGAAATTTTCATTTTACTAGAAGCTTCCTTAGTCATTTCAGCCGCCATTTTGTTTTGGTATTGTTCTAATTAGAGTACGATCATTTCTAAAAAGAAATTGTTCAGGCTACTGAATTAAAAGAACAAATCTTTGGTGCATTGATTCGTTTACTTATACAGATTATAAAGTATAAAGTGCATTTGTTAATTTTGTTTTAGTAATAAAAATTTGTGTGGGTTAACAGTCTTCTTCTGGTGGGAGACGGTCTGTCAGGACTCAAATATTAGAGCCAGGAGTGTTGCTTCTCACTTGAAACACTTCTATCTGTTGTTAGAAGCTGTACTTCCTGCTCTGATGAAACTATTTTCTTCTGAAGTAACATTTCTTCTTATTGCGGTAATGTAACGTTAAAAATCTCCTTAGAGTATCTTCTTAATTTCAAACGCCCTTGTCTCGTTTTAAATATTTCTTTACAGGGTCCTCTTCACTTATTTCAAGCATCTTCTTTAATCATTAAACACCTTCTTCCTTTCTCGACAAAAGCAAAAACAATCAAATCACAATTATTGTTGTTCATTTTCCATGTACGTGTTAGCAATGAAAAAATTAAATCCAATCTCGTGTTCATAAAATCGCAGAAACCGCGCGCAGAAACGTAACCGGAACTAGAACCCCCACACGTATGTATTTTTAAATCTGGCCACACAGTTAACGCACGTGACGAAACGTTACTTTTACAGTTAAACGCGTTTGCAGACACGATGCAGATAGTTGTAGGTGAAGTGTAGCCAAGAAATATAGGTCAATGGAATCATAAGAAGCAGTCACACGGTGTTCTTTGTAATCGCGTTAAATCATCTAACGCGATTTCACCACTGTTGCGTTTCTTTTCTTTTTCCTTTTCATTATTCTATAACCGCCTGAATTCACAAACATCCCGTATAATTACGGCATTACATTCGGCCCGCGTCTGGTTACCTTGGAATATCCAACGAGTCTGTTTTTAGCATGAAGGAGCTTTCAATAAAAACGAATTTTATTTCATCGTTACGGCCGCAAATCTCGAGCGGTTTTATCGTGACGATCCTCGCCACCGATGAACTTTTTCTTTTTTGGTTTCACGACCAACAAACAAACGTGGCTCGAGCGCCCACCTTACGAATACCTTATCGAATATTAAACAACACAGCCAATTAAACGGATACACACAAGAAGCAACGGTTCACTGAAGTTTTCGTTCCACTGCTTAGATATACCCAACACTTAACAGTTTCATTTATGCACCACGTACCACGAACGATGAATCACCTTTATCCACTCGTCCATCGTTTTCACAAAAGGCTCTTCGCGAAATCCACGAGCAACGTGTGTATATAACCAACCCCGCTCAGTGAGATCCACTCAATGACTCACGAAGATCTTGCCACGGAGTCCAAAACACCATGGCAGACAAGATCGTAATCATCAGCACACTGTATATCTCTTAACAGAATCCCGTCGTAGAAAGCACAGTTATATTCCGATGGATTTCACTAAAATTACCGCCAATTACCAACGATGGTAACAGAGATAAAGAAAATGAAAAATAATCACTGAAATGATGGTAACGAAGACGCCATCCTGCCTGGATGATGCGTATGCAACGGCTGGAATTCTTCCAAGGCGGTGGCCCACCCGGAAAAAATGGCCTCCTAGCGTCCGGTGACATTCCTCGTGTCGATCCTGGGACACTTTTCAACCCTTGAACAGTTTTGACAGCGCATGGACGATCCTCGTGCACGAAATTTGAATTTCACAATCTTTTCCCTTCGAATATTCGCGTCGATTTACGGTGCGATCGCTTGTTCTCGAATTAATGGACAGGCCCCGATAGAAGCGATCTCCCGCGAGCAGCGAAGCTGCGGAACCGTTTCCGAAGAATCGTTGCACGCTTTCTAAAAATCTGTCTCCCGTGAGTCGCGACGAAACGGCAGGAAAGTAACCCGATTGAAAAGGGGGGCTCGAGGAAATGGTCCGTGAACCGCCATGTTTGTTTAACCCTTTAACTCTTAGTGCATGGGCGTAGCCAGGTTATCAATCAAGGGGAGGGGGCAAAAATATTAATATATATATATAATATTTCTACCGAACGGTACCAAAGTTACAAGGTTTTCTCACCTTTAATTTGTTCTCTAAAGTTTGGAAAGTGTGACTTAATACATTCTGGCTTTGGGGTCCAGATATCAATCTCATAATTTTTAAATAACGATTTAAGGGTCTGGGCGTTAAGTTTCGTCTCGACGACACGGGGACTAAAGCAAATGAACTTCGATTATTGCATTCGAAAGGAACAAATTTCTTTTCTCTCTGAAATAGAAAATTAACCTGATACCCTCTGGAAGAAAACGGTTTTCATGAACGTGAGGATACTTACCCCCTGGCACTTGAACGTCAGAGGGTGCAGTCGTTACTTCCACGTTGAATCGCGTACGGTAATTCTGGGAATCATCGGAGGGATGCATGCGTGACCTTGACACCGTGGAAACTCTATATGATATACGATCCACGGGGTGCACGTGACATGATCGACGATCTTCCAGGTGCGTTCGTGTGTGCATCGTGCACTCTATCTAATTGCAATCGGAAATCGAGAATGGCGGCGAAAGTGTTTATTAAACGTTAAAGTGTGCTCGAAGACA